AAAAAAACCTCTGCAACTATCTTCTTCTAAATATTTGTTTCTTATTTTTAAAATAACCTACTCAAAGAGAAATAAATCTTGCTGGTTTTGTCTGCATGCAATTCTTCTTTAGCTAAACTGTAACAAATTTGTCTCTGTGTGTGACTGGGAGAATCCTAACTGCTCATCCCCACTTATTAAGAGGGAGACATCATCAGCTATGTTTATCCATCCAGGCAACCTGGATGTCTTATTTGGCTGGATAGTAATCTAGCAGAAGCATATCATATACCACCATAAGACTATGTGACTTAAATAAGTAAACTGAGTTCTCATCCATCCTCACCCATGGCTCCCACGGGGAAGAAGAATGGAATAAGAAAATCAAACTAAACAGGGCCTTTTCATTAGTTTAATTTCTATAGTTCAACACTGTTTATGTAATAAAATAATAGCTATAGATTTTTCGCTTTCTAAGAACAGAACAAGTGAAAAATGTATATATCAAAATTACAGCATCGATGGACTGCAGATACCACACTATTAAATGTGTGCAAAAGAAATGCTTAAGTCATTTGACTGTTGTTTTTTGAGAATTGTCTCTGCCCCAAAGTTTTCACTTACAGTTTTGCCACTGAAGTCTGGCTCCTGGAACTGTTCTCTCTCCTATCTGATCTGGCTCTGATTTGTTAATTTTCTACTTTAAAACTGGAGGCTTTAAAACAGATAGCTATCACTAGCCCCGATCTGAGCACTGTGAACCCTAGCAATATATCTCCTGAATCCCACAGTCTGTTACAGGAAAACAGAAATGATAAGTTCAGAGGTTCAAATATTGTTTTCTAATGCAATTTTCTTGGAATGGTACTGTAGTAAGAATAATAGTAAAAATAAAATTAAATGTGCTCTAAACAATTTTCAGGAAGATACAGAAGGATTCTTTTTGCTAAAAAATCTTTTAGAAGTTGACTCTGCATTTTAAATTTCTATAAATTAATTAAATAAATTGTCTTAAATACAACAAAAACATTCTATCTCTCTAGTCTTTACACAAAGATAATACTTCAGACCTGACAAATTCCTACTACTATCAGAAGACACATTATTTGATTTCCACTCATTTACTGTGAAGCCACAGAAAAAGGTTACCAGCCGCCCTCATCTGATTGCATATGTGGTGCCCGGCTTTGTGGCCTAGCTTTTCAGCTACCATTGTATATCTTTAGCTGCCTAAATTGGTGCACCTTGTGTTGGCCAGAGAAAGAAAAAGCATCAGAACTTCTGAACTGCTTTTGGACACTTAGGCTGCACATCTGTGTCCCAGTGCCCCCAGGGTATAAACTCTAAATAACATCAGTTCCACATCCTGAAGCTTCTGACTGAAAAGTGCAATTTTCACACTAGATGTAAAGCCAACATTTCACTGAAAATGTAAAAACTGGTGTCCCTGCAAGGGTAAGCCTGCTTTCTGGCTGAGGAACAAGAAAAATGAATGCTATAATTCCAACAGAGAGAGTCCCATCTTCCACCCAATATGGATGTGGGAGGAGGAATACTGAGCCATCATTTCATTACAAAACACTTAATTTTGTTCTGGCAGCTGGTAGGACCCCAGCTGTCCCTTTCACTTTCACCCTGTGACAAACACATGGAGCGCTGTAATAATTTCAAGCACAAAAATGGAGAAAAGATGAACAATAGTGAGTTGCTAAGAATGCTCGTTTACATGGGATGTCTTCCCGGCTGCCCCAAATGACTTGTTTTTCTGTTAGCCCAACTGCATCAAGAGCTTTTGGCCATATATCTAGCTTGATTACAGGACAGATTAGGTCTTAAACATTTCTTATGATTAAATAAAGAAGCGTCAGGTTTTAGTCTATTGACAGTAATGGCTTGGTTAGTAGCTGGCGTTTCTGCTTCAAACAGCTCCTATAAAGGAAATTACCAGTACAAGAGAAGTTTTTTCCCTATGACACTGAAAAATTACATGAAACCATATATACATCATAAAATACCAATTTTCAGACTGTTTCTCATTACAATATGCTTTAACTATTGGTAGAAGAACCATGGGGTGAGTGAAAAGGAATTATGTATGATTGAATGTCTCAATTATACTTGATAATTGCAATGAAAACACTGGAAAATCAGTCTGCTTCAATGACCTACCTAGAGGTCTGGTAAGGGCAAGCAGAGGGCTGGATTTCAGTAGGGAAAAGCACATGAACAGGAGGAAGGGGAGGAAACAGCTGCTGTTATAATGGTGTATTTATATACTAGTTTACAGAATTAAACATTTCATAATTTAAAAAAATGGTCTGCAATACATTGGAGCAGACTCAGCAAAGTTAGTAGCTCGTTTATGCTTCAAACAGCTCCTATAAAGGAAATTACCAGTACAAGAGAAGTTTTTTCCCTATGACACTGAAAAATTACATGAAACCATATATACATCATAAAATACCAATTTTCAGACTGTTTCTCATTACAATATGCTTTAACTATTGGTAGAAGAACCATGGGGTGAGTGAAAAGGAATTATGTATGATTGAATGTCTCAATTATACTTGATAATTGCAATGAAAACACTGGAAAATCAGTCTGCTTCAATGACCTACCTAGAGGTCTGGTAAGGGCAAGCAGAGGGCTGGATTTCAGTAGGGAAAAGCACATGAACAGGAGGAAGGGGAGGAAACAGCTGCTGTTATAATGGTGTATTTATATACTAGTTTACAGAATTAAACATTTCATAATTTAAAAAAATGGTCTGCAATACATTGGAGCAGACTCAGCAAAGTATGCCTTACTCTGCTGGAATCACTAGAACTTCACTGGTGACAGCTCTTGTCCACCCTATGGAAATAAACTCAAAGTGAGAAGCCATTCATATCACATGAAACTTCTGTAATACAGACTTTTTTTTTTGAGACAATGTGGCTACAAATGTCAGTAAGCATTTCATCCACTGCAGAGGGGCCAATCTTAAATTGTATTTCGTTCTTGATGCTGAATTGAGAACATTCAGAGAAAGCATTGCAGATAAACTTTTCTTACTAAAGTAGAAAAACAGTGTCATTTCCTCAGCTGAAGTCCACTTAGCATATTTACTATTAGTATCACCAGTAGTAGTTGCTATGAAACACAGAAGCAGTAAAATGTAGATTACAGAGCTTAAAAACTAAGCTTCTCAAAAATGTTTCTCAAACGAAGTGAATAATTTAATTCTAGGAAGTTATTATAAACAAATGTCTTACAGATTGTCTTTTGGAAACTTGGATATCTTCATGTAGTTACAGGGTTGTTCCTTACAGAACAGGCTATAGTCCCTATAGACTGAGGCTTCCCCTTAGTCAAATTTACTAATTAATCATCTAACAAATACTGTATTAACCTTTCTAAACTTGGGGCTAGAGAAGCAGTGCTTTAGTTTTTGAAAACAGCTGGCAGTTCACATAGTAAGACTTTGAGGAGGGCTGGGGAGGACAGAATGGCACGGCGATTACAGAATAACAGTTCAACTAACGAAGCCGGACTTTGGGTTGTTGGATGACATGAAAAAAAATATCCTCAAGTATCTCAAAAGAGATGGGGCACTAAAGAGTTTATCTGTGACAAGCCTCTTTGTTCCTGCAGTCATCAGTGAAGATACAGCAAAGGAAATGGAGGAGCTGCAGTTATGCATTTGCAATACACAAAGTCCTTGTTTTCCCACTAGGCACTGCAGAATAGCAATTGTCCATTCACAGCACATATCACATCCTCTGCATTTCAGAGCTAATATTTTTGCAGTCCTTAAGCTAGCATGCTTAAGCCTAGTGTAGTTAATTTTTGTAACCCTTTGAGGTACATTGCATGAGGCGGGTGTGCTCATGTTCTGTTCCTTGTTATATGAATTGTTTTTTCAGGTATAATTCTTAAAGATAAACTAAAAGATTTTCAAATTGCAGAGGGTTTATATCTACAGCAATACCTCAAACAGAGCTGTAAAAAGTCTCATTTCACAAATTGGGAAAATATGAAGACTGCTGGTCATTGAGCATACCTGTATATTAATCCAATTAACAACAGAAATCAGCTGGGCTGGCTGAAATTATTTTTAAGACCACTCATGCACACACACACACACACACACGGGCTCTGACAAGTGGCTCCTCCTCTTGTATTTTAGAATCACACTCCTGAAAACAATGTTAGTTTTATGCTAGCAGTTGCTTTCATTTCCTGCAGCATACACTGTCCGCTGTAATGCTGCAATACTCATTCAAGGCAGATCACTACCTCGAATATGAATTGAACCTATATGTCATCAGACATCAGGCTACATTACTTCAACTTCCAAGCAAATTTCCACTTTTCTCTGTTTAAGTAGCAAAAGCTATCTGAAAACTGGTGTTGATATAAGACGATCAGCTCTCTCCCTTCCCACTGAGGATGTGCTTATAAGTCAAAGTGCAGGCTGCTTCTTAATTTTGAACTTCTGAACCCAAATCAAGTAAAGCAATCCTAGCATGTAGTAAAAAAAAAATGATGTGGTACATGTACTCCTAAAAATGAGGCTGATAACTGTTTTCTGCTTGATCTGTTTATTTCCAACTCTTTCTCTCTCTGCTCTAACTCTCAGACAAACTCACAGCCCCCTCAGGATAAGAACGAGTTTCTGCTTTCTTCTCCCTTCATCTAAGCCAGCCAAGTCCCAGGTCTCCTCTCCTGCCACAGAGCAGTAGGAAAACATATAGAAAAAGCAATCACACTTTCCTCAGTAAGGTCAGAAAGGAATACAATAACAGATTCTTTCTGCAATCTTCTTTCACCATCAAATGGTTAAATCAACAGAAGTTAAAATTTTCATCTAGTTTGAATACAGAGAAAAAGGGAGGAAATTCAAAAACCGGTTGCTGTAGTAACAATCACCAGTAAAAATCTTTTCCACTAAATAATAGTATTATCTCCCTCTCCCCCTCACATTTTTAGTTCCCCTTCAAAAATAATCATGCTGCCTCCTTTAGATTTGCTGTACATACCTCAACCATTAAACAAGACATTTAACCATAGTGGCAGGGGGGGGGGGGTTGAATGCCGTTGAAGGCCGTAAATCTCTAAGCGGTGCAGCTTGTTCATGAAGACTTGTACTGCAGAATCCAGTAACTGCATCCAGGATTAGGAATAGAATTAAGTAACAACAGCAAACAAAAATAAAAATAAAAGAAAAAAAGAAAAAAAAAAGAAAAAGAAAAGAAAAAGAAAAGAAAACCTCCCCAAGTCCCCCAACCCAGCCAATAAAACCACCTTAAGAAGCAAAAAGACTCGGGAAGAGAGTGCACTTTTCTGCCAGTGTAAGGGCTGGGGTAGAGCTGAGCTTGCTGCAGTCTGCCTGCCTGTGTGAGTGAGCCGAAGGCCGTGCAGGGCTGGGAGGTGCTGTCAACTGCCACAGGCGCGGGAGAGCAGACCAATCCGCGTCGGCACTGTCAGCTCGGTGGAGTGAAGCCTTTTCTGTTTATGTTTCCTCATTTCAGGAGTGACGTCAAAGGGTTTAGTTTTTCCTCTGCATGTGCTATTAATTTTAAACGACTACTATGGGAAGAATGTGGCAGTGATTTAGGCAGGCTACCCTACTCGAAAGAAGCCGGAGTCATGATTTATCTGTCCTGGATTTAGCTTAGAAATATTTTATAACGAGAGGTACCAGAAAGATCCAAAATATCCTCACAAAATGGGGAAAGGCTATAAATATGCTTATATGTATCGGTGTTCTTAAATATACCCAGTATATTTCCCAGTGAGAGCTGTAATCTGTATGGGTTGCGGTGCAAAATCAGACCTGATTCTGCCCTTGCCCTGAAGTAAATCAGGAACTGCTTCTCTAAATTCAGCGGTGTCACGCCAGTGTAAACCTGGCGAAAGAGATAAGACTGAGACTACTGTACACATCCCTTTATCAGTCAGCACTAGCTAGATTGCAAATTAGCAAACTTCTTTCATTACCGTGTCAGTCACCGAGGCAGTCACCCTTAAGGTCTGCTGCTCTGGGCAAACACCCATTCCACTAGCAGATCGCAGCCCAGCTGTGCTCGCCTACGAGCTCTGCTGTGGACCACCGCACAGGGTTTTATTTCATACCAAAGTCCGTATCAAAAGACAAGAGGCGATGGTAAAGCCTGGCTTCCTGTAGCACTTCGTCTTTGTCAACAGAGAAGCTGTGCAGCTGAAGCTTCAAAATTCAAGTAACATATGTCAAGGTCAATTAGCATGGGCAACAGAGGCCACAACAGCACAAGATAATTGATAGGAGGTCAGTTGACAACGATAGCTGTTTAATTATCTTCGTCATTTTGATTTTGCTGATTTGCTTTTCTAGAGATTCCTTTCAAAGAGATTGGTTTATGAGGCACAGTTCATTCCTAAAAAGTCCTAACAGTCTAACATTTAATTTTAAAACACATATAAGTGCTTTTGGAAGTGGATAGGCTGACATCTCTTGAGAAAGAAATTTCTCAATGATCCACAGAACAGGTACAAAAATAGTAGTAATAGGAGCTTCTCCATGACCACCAACTGATGCTACCGAAATGTGACTCCGGAGAGGCCAAAATATTTAATGATTTTTTTCTCACTGAAAAGTCTGCCTGTGCTATCACTGCTAATGTAATCAGCTTCAGCAAGAAATGCAAAGGGTTATGGTGCTGTAAATGCTGGAATAACATATTTAAAGTATTAAATAAGTTAGAGATTTACAAACTCAATTAGAGCTAATTAAGTTCATCCGACTGTACTTAGAGAACTGTATGAAGCAATCTGGAATGCATAAATAGGGATATTATTTGTAGTACACAGAAAAGCATCATGTTCATCTTCACTCAGCATCGGTGAGGGGGCAGCTGAGTATTGCACTTTGGGAATTGCACTTCAGGGATCAGTTTTGGGAATGTCAGTTGAAAACGATATGGGTTCCAGTGAGAATGATCTGGAGTCTGTGAAGAAAGGCTGAGATTGACATTGTTTAGTCCAAAAAAGGAGAGTTGATAAGAATTATTTACTATACAAAGAGTACATTTATCTAAAAAAAAAGCCCCAATACTAGAGTTTATTCTTTGGCCTGGAGACATTATCTGGCCTTTAAACTCTTTTACAGCCTTCATGACGACATAGCTGCATCTGAGCTGGTAGTAAGTCTCAGACTGTGTTTGGGAAGTGATTAGGGCAATGCCCAAACTCTGTGAGAGTCCATTCTAGGAACGTGACATTGTAGATAATCAAGGTCCGCTGTTCGGGCCTGTGTTCTGGCCCTGTTTATTTTACCAGTATAGATATAGGCAATTTGCAAAGAAGAAGGGAATAAATTTTTCTCCATATTCATTGTGGTTAGAACAAATAAACTGCAGCAGAAGAAAGTTGTTTGACATAGGAAAAACTAAAGGTAGGACAGTGAAGTACTGAAATAGATAGGCTGTGATAGTCCGCACTGTTCTGCTACTGGCCATTTTTAAAAGTACGGTTAGGCAACCATCATTCATGAACAGTTTTGATACAGGTGATCCTACTTTGGAGTATAGAGGTAAGAGTAGGGGATTTCTGAATGTCTACTCCGATCCCATTTTTTCCATTTTCTGCATTTTAGCATCAATCTTATTAATAATATTACACTGTGTTTCATGAATTAGGGTCCTGGTACATTCATGTTCTGCACAAAGTGTTAGATAGGTATCGTCTCTCTCCTAAAAAGGCTAGAGGTTACTTCAGCCTCTGGGAATCATGTGGCCCTCTGACAATAAGCGGTTACTGTGGTTTTTGTGATGTAGATGCTTCCTGGGTGAAAAGATGGAGGGGCCTAGAAGCACTTATGATTGCAGCTTCTACTTAGACAAAGATAATCTCAAAAGAGTGCATGCATGTGAGGATGGGAAAGAGAATGCATGGCTGTGCACAGTGTTACAAGGAAGACCTTAGTTTCCTCAGCATAACCACATGCTTCCATGATGGGATGGGAAGGAATGCTGAGAAGAAATGGGCTCCATCTAACAAAGAAAGAAGGAAAATTTTAGCATAGGTTTGCTAATCTGATCAGATATGTGCTAAAATATCCTGTCAGGCTAATGACATGAGTGTCCAAATAAACATGACCCACAGTGGCCTAGACAAAAAAGCTGAAAAAATGAAAACTCTATGATTCTTTAAAAAATGTCATTGGAGGAAGAAGAAGACAGCAAACCAACTGATGTTCAGCCTAGATGTCTCTATATTGATGTAAAATGTATTGAAAATAATAGAAGGAGCTGGAAAACTTAATGCAAGATAAAAATTACAACTTAATTGGCATGACAGAAACTTGGTAGGGTACAGTCATGTGGATATGTGACTGGAATACTAATACCGAAGAGCACAGCTTGTTCAGGAACAACAAGAGGGAAAAAGGTGAAGGAGATTATGCCACATATCTCACTCAGATGTTCAGAATGCAGCAGGAAACACACATTGAAAATCTGAATGATAATACAAGGGAAAAGAATATAGGCATTGTTGGGGGATCTGCTGCAGATCCAGGCAGATCAAGTGGATAACTCTCTCATCTCAAATCCTAGCAATTAGCAGGATTGTCTGAAGCACAGAACTTGGCCATAATGGGAGATTTTAATCATGGAGCTCTTGGAAAAAGAGCTGATCTGGACTCAGACAACTTGGTTCATTCTCTCCAGAATAAGCATTCAGAGTACATTTGGGAACCCCTCAAATTTATAAGCCTGCCTTTTTGAGCAGTCCTGCTTGACTAAGTAATTCATTTGACTTCCTTTTATAGTCCTGGCTCAGCACCGGAGGCACTTTAATATTTGCCTTTAGCTATTCTCCCTTCTCAACGTAGGTGGCACACCAAGACATGCTATCTCTTACCATAGGATGGCACTCCTCAAATCTTCAAGCCTTCCATTGTGGTCTTTGGAAAGGAACTTGGATATTAGAGAGAACGCTTAATCTGCCTCACCCAAACCACACTCCTTATACCCAGACATACTCCCTGAAACCTAAAAAAAAATATTCATCGGAGTGCCAGTAAAAATTGTGTTTGTACATGATAGAATGGCAAGCACTGTGCATGGGAGGGCAAAAAGATGCCTCCTTCCTTCCACTTTCTTCCCACCTCTTTATTTCTACCCTGGCCATCTTTAGGAAGGGCTCTAGCATGGGACCACATATTGCTCTTCATATTGCTGTCAATGACATCTGAGGCAGTATTGTAGTTCTAGAGTGTGGGAATAAGGAGTGGAAAAAGATGCAGTGTAAGCTGCTGCCACTGCTGAATGAGTTCATGTGTCTTTGCACATCCCTCAACTCCCCCTGAAATTGCTCTGAAATGCAAGATTGTAGATGTTACAGTAATTCCCAAAGGTATTGCTACTTTTCCTTAGGGCATGAACATGTAAGTCTGAGGATGCTGAAGACTGTGACGAAACTTGTCCTTTGCTATGTCTGTTGCAGCTTTCTTTGTTGGGGGACAATAAGGGTGAAGAACTAGTGCGGAGGCACAGTTTTCTGTAGTCATGAAAAGAAAGGAAGGAGAGAGTGGACAACCACAGTCAAAGCAGCATAGCGTGAAGGAAGTTTATGCTTATCTCACCCCAGGATGACAGATATACTACTCCTGAAGGTGAGTTTATATGTTATGCTGGACATACTGCTGTTGGGAAACTTTTTAAGACAGATTTCTCCAGGCTGAATCATGTGAAACGGCTGGATAGTGACTAGATGTGGATGTCCTGTGCCTGTTTATTTACAAATTAATGCCCTCAGTTAGCTTTTTAATCTTGTTACAGGTGCAATGAATGGCTGGAAGCACCCTTGGTGCACCGTCTGTGGAACTGGCTCCCTTATGGTTCTCTTCTTCACCTGGGACCTGTGCAACGTTTTCAGTGTATTTACAGACAGCCTGTGTGAACTGTCAGAAGATGCTGTCGGCTGGTGATTAGCTGAGGTTCAGGGTTGCCTGGAATGACCCAAGGCCAAGATGCAGGGGGCAATATGACTCAGACAAGCATGGAGATAGGTAAGGGCATGACATTATTCAGAGCAAGGTGGCCCCAAAAGGAGGGCACAGATTGCTGATATGACTGTAGACCTCATTTATTTGAGCCAAAAAGCTGGTGTGTTGGTGCATGGTTTAGACTTCTGGGCTTGTCTTCATCTGACAAGGTGCTGTCGTAACAAGGTTACACTGCTCCTGAGAAAGGTGTCTGCAACAAGGGAACACTCTCCAGCTCCCACAAACTTATCCATGCATTATTCTATCTGGCTTTCTAGTCTTGACCCTACCTACCTATTATCAGCCATCTTTTCCAATACAATCTAGAAATTCAGCTGTTTCTGGCAAGTAACTTTCCTCTAACTGTCCCCTATGCCCT